ATGATGATCTTACACCCGACCAAAGAACTAAAACAGAAACCATCTGCTTGTGTTACCCTTGCCATCTGGTTCATTCAGAAAAGCTTAGATTAGGGCTACTTTTTTGTGTAAATCCAACGCCAAGCCCCGGTCCAAATACAATTAGAAAACCCAGTGTTGAAATGTTTGTTGGATGTTTTGGCCAGGCTCTCACCTTCCCACTAAGTTTGAGTCCCACTGCAGTCAGCATGTCGTATTGTCCCTGAGACACTTCAACCGAAATTGCTCCTGTGGGGATTGCCCACAGTATTGAGTATGTAGGTCGCTTTGGATAAAAGCGTCTAACAAGTGACATGTAATGTAATGTAATGGAAGAATTATCTTGTTTTGCCTGTTCAGAATATTTGGAAGTGACAAAATAATAGCTGAATGTTTGGGATTTATCTCCCACTGATACCGTTGGTGTGTTTTTGCTGCTCATATTTCAATAAACAATTCTACATCAACTGAGACAGGTCCATATTGAACCTACTGCGTAAACTGTCAGGCTAGTAATTACATCCTATATTTAATTTCAGATTAACTAGGTGATGTCTTGTACCGTGTGCACAATATTGCTTTCACACATCCCCAGAATGCAATTACCTGACTGGGTCAATGAACAAGCAGGAACACAGTCAGACACACACCACCCTTCGATTAAAGTGATACAGCCGCTACACGATACGCCAGGATGCCTCACCTTGCCAGATGATGGCAGGCATGCAGGACACTCGGCACTATTAAAGCTTTGTGACCCTTACTGCCAGCCTGGAGGTGTTGGTTTTTGGGGCAAGATGAGAAAGTGTGCAATGTAATGATAACTTACTATCCTGCAATTGTCAGGTAATCCAACACAGAAATCCTATTTGGGGATTATATCAGGTACAAGTCTGTAAAGTGCAAAGCTGTAATCCTTTTCAAGTTATGAAAAACAGTAAAAGGCTTCTCTAGGAAGCTAATCAGAGAAGCACATCTACAGCTGGTGTCGTGGAATAGACTGTGCTTTTCCTATGTGATGTTGGTTTGCTGTAATGTCCCGTAAATGGACCCTGAATCTACTAGCTACTTCCGCTACACTTTACTGCCTAATAAACAGTGAGCTTAGTTGTAGCTTGGTTTTTCTTTTGGTCATGCTGTCTTTCATACGTTATTACTTGTATCAATGTTCCCTTCCCACAGAAATATCCTTTTTGTGGGGGAAACTTCTGTGTAGCAATGCAGTGGGAGTCACCGACTCAGGAAGCAGACACGGGGAGAGCAGGAGCTTTGATGTCAAACACTGATGGTTTATTTAGGGGCTTCGGCCGGAGAATTCACATCACAAGTCCAAGAGCCAGAGGTTCTGACTTCACGGTAGAGTTGCCACGTCAAATCTGAAGAACTCTACCCCAGACCCATGTATTTAGCTAGTTCAGAGAGAATAATCAACATGCTGCATAACAAGATAGAATGATAACACCTCTATCAGCTGACGCCAACAGGCAGGAACAGGGAGACAGAACACTGAGAGCACAGCAGCCAAGGTTACAGGTGCTCAGTCAGGACAGTTTGAACTGATAAACTGGGTCAAAGTTATGGGCCTTGGAAAATATTTCCCCAACACTTTTTATATATAGTATTCTTTGCATTAGCCTTACTTTAATTGTGTGTTTGTACCTGATATAGTGATATTGACCTGATCCATCAAGGACCCCTTCTTAAATGGCAAACCCTTTAAAAATGTAATTTGTTCTGCTCCTTTTCATTATTCCCCCAAGGCTGACACTATTACAATTGAGAAGAAAATAACACCTCGCCATTGCTCAAACATGGCCCCCTGATGTCTGTCTTCTTGTGTGATGCTTATGTTGTGTCTGCTAACTTGTCTTCCGAGTCCTCAATCAGTTTCTCATTTGTTTGTTAACCATACAGAGTTTGACAGAGGTGCCTACTTTGTCAAGGTGGTGATTACACCCCTGCTACCAAAAGTCTATTTAGACATTCACCATATCGCCAACCAGTGGGGAAATAGCCAATGATGGATCTGATTATGTAGTCGATACTGAATGAGGCATTACTGGCTTATAAACAGCAATGAAGCCCACTTAGTCATGCTGATGAGGATGGCCCTGTCTCAACAGGAAACTGGTAATCAGTGAAACGGACCTTGATTAAAAATAATTACGATGCCTGCAGGGGGCCCCGTGCGGTCTAGAGTGCACAATATGCCACTCTTGATTTGAGATATGATCTGAGGGGTTGATATGGGGGCCCTTTTCCCCCCTTTGTCCCCCCTAGCTATCCATCTAATTCATTTTTTCTGGTATTAAAATGTGTTGCTCATTTGCTGGTGCTTGGAAATATTGCAGTGGAATCACTAGTCATCATGTGCTCTGTGGCCTGAGACCATATTGGCAGCTATGCATTAAATTGCTAATGTGCTTGGAAGAGCTACATTACCTGCCCCATCAAAGTGACAAGGGCAAAGATAAAGCACTTCGCTCGACTGCCCCTGAGATCATTGGAAAATGGGTTTCGTGAATATGGCTTGGCAGAGCGCAAAGTTGTCTTTTACAATGCTTTCTTTGAATTGGTTGTGGTTCTGCTTCGCTGGTTTGACAGCTTCAGAACAATGAGGCAAAAGTGTTCGACCAGCTCCACCTGCATTCAGAGTGGTAAAAACCTGACACACCGCTGGCTCTGCACATTTGTAACGTTATGTTTCTTTGCAAACCCTTGTATTTACGAAAATAGTCTCACAGAATGGAAGAACGGTATATGGCCAGACCACACGCTGATTTTAAAGAACATTGTTGTTGGCCACTGCAGATTGTATGTATGTGTTGCATGCAGTAAAATAAGCTTTGGTGGATGGAAGTACTAAGCTCAGATGGAAAAGATTGAATGAATAAGAATACAACAACTGAGATACAACAAAACTGGGAGTTTATTCTCTTCGGTGTGACTCTCAGATGGAAAATAATGTTTGTTTGTCATAGGCTGTGTTGTTACCAAGTTCAGGGCCCTTGTCCTAAGGTCGTTGAGTGATATGATATAATTGACATGACAGCCATTCAATATACTTCCTAGATCACCCAACAGGAATAATGCCTTTTTTTTTTTTACCTTTTTCTTTTCCGCTTTAATTTGATTCAAGGGATAGACCATATTGCACATCTAATTTACAATCATGTTGCTCCCATTGAGTAACTGCTTTTATAAAGACATTGAAGAATCACTCTATTCAAAGATTGCTTTCTATTCCTGGACAATCAATAGAGAACATCATCTCATTGAATTGTGTGGGTTTTCAGGTCAAGTTATCATTTCTGTTGAACTTGACTGCTTCAGAATTTAAAACACTCTTTGACATGTATGTCAGACACACAGTTGTTGGGTTGTTTACAGCAGAGTCACTTATTGTAAAAGTTGGATCTTTTAGGATGCATGGTGCTCAAGTTGAACACAAGACACACGGTTTCAGCATTTGGTGTTAAAATGACTAATGTCTTGCAACTGCACGCTCATTCTGGAAACAAGGGCTGACATGGGGGGTGGGGGCTCTGCATGAGGAAGGAGAGCTCTGGCTTCAGGTGCGATGTGAAGGAAGGTAGAGCTCCGTGCACCGTGTGATGATTAATGAGTCGCACCTCACGCCAGCACACTGTCTGTTCATGAGAGTAGTGGTACACACTCCAGCAGCTTTGCAACAACTCTGCTGTTGCATCTCCCTAACACACACACACACACACACACACACACACACACACACACACACACACCACACACACCACACACACACACACACACACACACACACACAGTTGGGAAG